CCTGGCCCCTAAAAGTATGTAAGGAAGGTGCCAGGCAAGCCTCCCTGGGGAGAGCACTCTATAAGCTGGGAGCCACTGCAGAACATTCCCAGCAACTGGAAATTGCTTTGATATGATTAAATTTATGGACTGGTTTCCAGCAGCCGGCCTTTAAGCAGCATAATGCCTCTGACAGTAGAGCTAGAACATAGACACAAGGGTTAGTAGCTACAGATAACCTTATCTAATTTGTCTCATCCTGTCTTAAATCTATCTGAGTTGGTGGCCATTGCTACATCTTGGGGAAACAAATCCATACCCGCCTCTAAGTATCCCATTTTAAGTGGGACATTCTGGATCACCCAAGCCAATCCTGGCTTCTGTTTGGATCCTTGAATCTCCTGTTTTTTGTTCCGGTGCGCTAGCATGAGTCCTTGTGCCAGACCAGAAAGCGCTCTGCCGCAATCCTGCTGAGCACCAGAACGCCTTCCAGTCTGGTGCTCCTTCTCGGTGTTAGAATTCCTGATCCATGATTGCAGTCATGGGATTGTTGTCTGTCACATGATGGCGTATGTTTTGACTCCACACAGTGGGAAGTGACGGAGACAGGATGTTTGTGTTACTGTGTTCCGTGAAGTGGGACTATTGTCCTTTTTTCCCCCCTCTTTGCTGTCTGATGCTACAAAAAGAGGGAGCCATGTTGCAGTGCTCCATGTGTGTTTATATGTAAATAAAGTAGATTAGCCAAAATGCTGAGTTGCTGAGGTCTGTCATGCGCCAGTTGCGAAGACTTTGCGGATCCCTAAGTGTGCCGGTGTCGGTTGGCATCGGTCGCTGTGATGTTCGGGCAGAAGAAAGCTTATGATTGACCAGGAGGGAGGGAACATGCCAGTCGGCCATGTGTCTCTGCCAGGGTCCTACTCGAGTGTAGGCTGAACTCTTGACACTCAGTAGGGGTTCCCCAAAGTGTCTTCTCATCCAGCACTCTGGAGTGACCCTGCTGACAATCACCAGAGCACTGGATCGGACATCCCGATTTGGGGGGCAAAAACATTGGAAGGTATGGGCGAATCTTTAACTATGTGTTGTGACATTAGATGTAGGCTAAGTGGGCCTGGCTTGGTCAAAACAGCCTCACAGGCCAAAATGAGATGCCAGACATGCCTAATGTGGCCCACAGACCGCATCCCCCCCCCCCAGCATACATGTACGCAGAGAATCCCCTTAAACTTTATTCCCTGTGAATTCAGTAGCACAGTTGTCGGGGGCATTTTGGCTCAGCACATTACAGAACTCCAAGTACGAACTCATTTGCCAGTCGGGAGTTGTAAATTTTGCCTCACTGTCATAACTATACTAATGATTATTGCCTTCGGCTTGAAACATGCTTTCTATTTTCACCACTGGCGGTAGCCTTTCTTCAGCTAATCAGCTCCTTGGCATTTACTGCCAGTTTCTTTTGATTACTTAAGTAAAATTGTGCCTCTGCTTTCTTCCTTGCCAGGTCAAATGGTAAAAGATATAGTAGGAAAACATCTTACTTTCTAAATACTGCATGACTAAACTCATTAATCAAAGTTCTACTGAGAATCAACTCATGTCAGTTCTGCAAACATGAAAATCCTCTTAAAAGATTATCTTGGAAAAATAAAAGAACGACTATTAAATTTAAAAATGTACTGTCGGATGAAAAAGACAATGATAAACAATGCCACTAATTTATCTGGGGGAATAAAAGAATCCCTGCAGGATGCACACTGCAAAGGGCGGCGGTTGGTTGGGTGGAGAATGAAACAGTCATTCCAACACAGGAAACGTTCATGCTAAACACAGGGCCAGATTTAGGTGTTTTGAAGCCTCAAGTATTTCAAATTCAATTCAGTCACTTAGCTAGGGTGGGCAGTAATGGTGCCAACCTGCACATAGGGTCACTTCAGGATTTGGTGGCCCTTAGAAGGTTGACATATGGGACCCCTCCTGTGTGGACATCTGTGCAAGCAAGGAGCCATGGTTGGATGTTACTATTTTATTTTCCTGGAATATGACATGCCAGAAGTTTCCATTTTGGCACACTGGGTGTTAAAGAGAATGGCTGGTAATCCTGGAGAGTCACTGCCAGTCAGTGCAGACAATGCTGAGCTAGATGGGTCAACAATGGTGCAAGGTCGCTATGTTTGATACTCTTTATAAGAAACCTGATTAATGCTTGTTTTGTTGGGATTCCACCCACTTCCCATAGTCTGCTGAGCTCCTCCCCTTCCATGTCATGGACTGGTTGGTTACAGAGGAATGGTGGTAGCAACCAGCTTGGGAACCCCTAAGGAAAGAAGGCAGAGCCTGAAGAGTGGTGGTGGGACAATGATGAGTGGTCAGAGGGAGGAGAGAGAGGAGACTGGGAAGTGGAGATGTCAGAAGCTGAAAAGGTAACAGGGATTAGTGAGCTGGGAAGTTCAGAATCAGAAGCTGAAGTGGAGGAGGGAGGCCAAGTGCCAGAGAAGTCAGGCTGGTGAAGAGTCATGGTTTCCCCCCTCTTGCTGCGACAAGCTCCCCTCCCACCTTGTCTCCAAGAACCAGAAGAGGCATGAAAAGGGCAGAAGAGAGGTTGGTTGCACACAGACACAATCTCTGATTGCTTGGGGAAAGCCCTGGAGAGGAGGGCACTTAGACTGCTTTGAGGAGGTGGGGACTTTCAGTCTTGACAGCTGATTTTCATGGAGTAAGACCACTGGGAATGAGCTGCTCTGCTCAATAGGCTTGACACTCAACCAAATCCATAGAGATCATGTTTTTGCTAATAGTTAACTTCAACTTAGAACAGTGTGATTTACTGCTGGCTCTGAGAACCACCCTAATAATATTATAATAATTTATTATTTATAGCCCGCCCATCTGGCTGGGTTTCCCCAGCCACTCTGAGTGGCCCCCAACAGAATATTAAAAACACAATAAAACTTCAAACATTAAAAACTTCCCTAAACAGGGCTGCCTTCAGATGTCTTCTAAAAAGTCAGGTAGTTATTTCCTTGACCTCTGGTGGGAAGGCGTTGCACAGGTTGGGCACCACCACCAAGAAGGCCCTCTGCCTGGTTCCCTGTAACCTCACTTCTCACAGTGAGGGAACTGCCGGAAGGTCCTCAGCGCTGGACCTCAGTGTCCGGGTTGCACACTGGGGGTGGAGACGCTCCTTCAGGTATAATAATAAATCATGAAATATTTGTTCGAAATATTTGCTGCTGTAGGTGAAAGATAAGATGGCACCCCCTGTATCAATGTATATGGAACTAAGCAAAAGGGTGGCAGGGCTGTGGTGGAGACAAGGGGGCAGAGTCTGGGATTTGTGGAGTTTGGTGCTACCCGTGAGGCAGGACCCAAGGCAAAGGGAAGAGGAAGAGTCAGAACAGTCAGACAAGGAGCAAGCCAGTCAAATCCTCACCATCTCCTGCCCCACTGTCTCCAAGCCCATCCTGGTACTAGAAGAGAGAAGAGCAGAGACGACTTCCATGCAGAAGTCTCAGGCTGCAAGAGCACTGAGAGAGCAAGAGGCTCAGGGAGAGTTAGGAATTAAAGAAAGCTTGTTTAAATAAAGATATTTGTTTTATAATACTCCTACCTGATCCTTAATAATAATTAACACCACTTGAAACATCCCCCACTCCACATATGAAACTCAACTGGACTAGAAGTTGAATCTTAGTTCAACACTGGCAATGGGTCAGCATCCCTCACCACACCTGAAGGCAGCAAGCTAGCTTAGATGGCACAGGGCAGGCCTTGGAGCACATACAGTTCCTTCCACACCTTGCTGCTGGCTCACATCTCCAGCAATCACTATCAGCTGCTTGGGATGGCTGCCTCACTCTGGCCCTAAATATTGAAGATGGCATTATTAAATAATTTGGCACAGTTCACCGAGGGGTGTATTATTTGTACCCTATATGGTGCAAGGACAGGAGTCAGACGCATTCTTTCTTTTTGTCCCATTTATTTCAAAGTTGAATTCTGGCCTAGTAAACCAGATGTATAGTTTATAGGCTAAACTGTTTAGAATTCAGCATCTATCGCCTTTGCTATCACATCTTAACAGGGGTAAAATGCTCTCCACTCCACTGAAATGGCTTCTTCACCCGTCAGGATTATTCAGCTTCCTACAGATCTGCTAACATCAGTCCGCAAAGTCTTACACATTCACAGATAGATTACTGCCTGCAGTATAGGCTTTTGTTTTCATTCTGCTTGTCTTGCTGGAAAGCTAGGTTCTGTGCAAAGGTTCCTCCAAGGAAGGGAGCATATTGCAACCCCACCCATTCAGGACAGAGCAAATAGGTTTGCCAAGGTGATGAAAATCTACTAGCAAGATGAAAAGGCTTCCAGCGTCTGATGATGCTGGTAGCAGAATGGCCTGGTTTATTTAAATATTTTGCATGAGAGAAACTCCAGCAATCATTCCCACCTTTCAAATGTTGTAGCTTTAATATATGGTATCACACACACCTACACAACAACTGAGGCGTGAACAACTGAAGAGTGTATTGTACCCACTATCGCTTTTACCTACGGCACAATAACCAATGTGTGAAAGATTTGTTATGTTACTCCTACAAAAGCATAATCATTAAGCATCCTTTTTGAAAAATCATTTGCTCTCAGTGTTCATATAGGCTCTGTGTTCAGAATAGCTGAATGCAGCGATCTATTGATTATGTAGAACGATACAGCACCAATGAAGAGGTTCCCATGGAAATCAACTTGAAGAGTCTGTAGGGAACCGGGTCCAGATCTGTGGATGTTCTTGGGAAGTTCTGATGCTACAGTGGTATTTCCCCCACTCCTCTATATATCATACCATGTAGTGGAAAAAAGACAGAAGCAAGTCAGTTCCCTCTCCACTAATTCAGTAGCATTTCTCAGAGCGCTCATAGGAACTTACAATTCATACTATTGGTACATCAACATCAATATTGCCTACACTGCCTGGCAGCTGCTCTCCAGGGTTTCAGGCAGGAATCTTTCTCAGCCCTACTGGGAGATCCCAGGGATCAAACCTAGGGCCTTTTGTATATACAGCATGTGCTCCACCACTGAACTACATCCCTCCCCTGAGTAGCAGGCTGCTGGAGTTGCCTACGAGCCATTATTATGAATCTCCCTCAATACTTTGACATAGAATATCTGCAGTATGATTAAGACAATAGACTTAGTTATGCTGGGCTTAGCTATGTCCACTTCCCTTACCTTGATAAGAAATGGGTAATCAGGCCTGTGATTTCTCCAGTCTACCTGAGAAGCTGTGTGTGAAGAGGTTTGAGCTTAGGGTTGCCATATGTCTGGATATAGCGGGGATTCGACCATTGGAAACAGTGTCTGGGTGAAAATCACTGAAATGTCCCGGAAAATCTGGGCATAGGACAACCCATGTTGGAAGTGTAGAGTTTGGTGAATTTCCTGAAAAATTGCTTCAAAAACTTCTGAGATCTTGCCAAAAAAAAAAAAAAAAAGCTCAACTGAGCAAAACTAAAAAAAGCTTTTAACAACTTTGTCAAAAATAGCTCTTGAAACATGGCAATCAGTGCTCTCACAAGTCACTCTTGAGCCCTTGTAGCAAAGGGTTTCAACCATTTAGAGCCAATGGCTCCCTTGATCAATCACATTCTTTTTATAGCTCCCCTGAGGGATACAGAGGAATCCCCACTTACACGGGAGTTCCATTCCGGGGCACTGCGTGCATCACTGGGATGCCCCCTTTACTTGGATTTGAAGGTTGCTGCGGACCTCCATCTTGCTTTGTTCTAACCCCCAACTGGCTTCACTGGAAATCAATGACACAGTCAGTCATGACTATCAATTTCAATGGGCCTACACTGAGTCAGATTAACACTGGTTTACAACCTAATATAAGCAGGTTTTTCATACCCTGGGAAGACTCATTAGAGGCCAGTGACCCCCCAAGTCAGCCACAGCCCTCAATTTCAATAGGTCTCCTCTTGGATATTCATTTACCTTTACCCATTACAGTGATACCTCGGGTTAAGTACTTAATTCGTTCTGGAGGTCCGTACTTAACCTGAAACTGTTCTTAACCTGAAGCACCACTTTAGCTAATGGGGCCTCCCACTGCCATTGCGCTGCTGCTGCACGATTTCTGTTCTCATCCTGAAGCAAAGTTCTGAACCTGAAGCAATATTTCTGGGTTTGTGGAGTCCATAACCTGAAGCGTATGTAACTTGAAGCGTATGTAACCCGAGGTACCACTGTATTATTATTATTATTATTATTATTACTATTATTATTATTATTACTATTACCATTCATTGTCCATCTATTACCCACCTATTTCAATGGGTTTCCTCTCGAGCAGGACTCAACACTGCCTACAACCCAATAATGATGAGGATGGGCTTTACCCAGCAAAGTCCTACTCAAGAGTCAAGTGCCAAGTACACTGACCGCAGCCCTGGCAGGAAGAAGTTGTCTTGCTGACACAGTTGCTTGGAACCTTCTAGCTGAACTGGGATTCTTTTTTTAAAAGAATATTGGGTGGTCTCCAAATACACTGGAGCATACCCACTCGGTATGATTCACTCAGATACCATCCATAGTTACTGGTGATTTAGTTTTGTTTATATTTGAGCAGATTTTCTACTTGCAAAATTTTCCTTGCGGCATTAATGCAATCTCCGTCTTTTCTGGAGGCTCGTTTTGATGGCAAGCAGACTTTTACAAATGTCAAACTCAATAGAGTCACTTCCTCAGCCATGACTATATCTACTCCGGTGGATGGAGCAAAAATGACAAGTCGGCTGCTGCTCTTGGTGCCAAGATTTCCCGGTACTTTCTCACTGTCAAAAGTTATATGAGGCAACAGTAACAATTCATGTTGGGCCACTAGCCTGTGACTCGGAGCTTGACCTTGACATGCTAGCCCTCCAAGGAATACTGTCACTGATTGAAAAAGTGTCGCGTTTAATCAGGAGTCAGCACACTGGCCTGTCGCATTTGATAGACATGTTTAATTTGTGCTAAGCAAAAAGTGGATTCAGCACCTGAAAAATTATAGCACATTTTTAGCAAAACGGGGGTTATAACTTTTTTTAAAAAAGCATTTCTTTCCTCATTTTCTTTTATTTTCATAATACGTTTCAGAAATACTAAGCAGGTCCACAGAAGTACAAAACTGAATAGTAATACAGATTTTTCATAGTACGCTAAAATACAATTTGAGAATCTAACATATTCTTTTCATTACAATATTAGAGGCTTCCTGCTCTCATAAAAATGATGCTTTTGGAGGAATTACAGAATCTTAGGGTTGGAATGGACCCTAAGGGTCATTTATTTCAACACCCTGCAATGCTGGAATCTCAACTAAAGCATCGATGACAGATAAACCTTCAATAAAAGAGTCCACCACCTCCCGAGGGAGTCCATTCCATTGTCAAACAGCTCTTATCAGAATGTTCCCCCTCATGTTTAGTTTGAATCTCTTTTCTTGTAACTTGGAGCCAACAAGCTTGCTCCATCTTCCGTGTTACAGCCCTTTTGATATCTGAAGATGGCAATCATATTTCCTGTGAGGATAAAAGTATTCAAGTCCCTTCACCGTTCTTCATATGGCTTGGTTTCTAGACCCTTGATCATATTGGTTACCCTCCTCTGCACATGTTCCAGCTTGTCAATATCTGTCGGCTCCGGGTCCCTTTTAAGGCCTGGGAGCGGAGCGGAGTGAAGCCTTAGCAGGCACAGTCAGCTCCTGAAGCTCTGTCCCCTGTCCAGACGATGGTTGGCCAGTTCAAAAACTGGCCTCTGAGGGAAACCAGCAGCCCCTGCATCATCCCAGGGGGCAGAGTAACAGCAAACCGACGCAGCATGGCCTCGGGGAGATGGCGGTGCTGAATGCTGGGCCGCAAACCCTTCCCACTGCTTGGAACCTGGTGAGTGGCAGGGGTGGCAGAAGAGGGTGTGGTGGGTGTGGGCCACCCCCGGGTGTCACCACTGAGTGGCCAGGCAGCACTCACCGTGGGGCCTGCAGCATGCCCGAGCAACGCGTCTCTCCTGGGAGAGACGCGGTGGCTTGGGCCCGTACAGGCTCTGTACTGCCCAAACGGTCTTTCCACTGCCTCCCCCCAGCTGTAGAACAGCTAAGTGGAAGGAGGCAGGCAGACTCCAGAGGCTCCCACGGTGCGGGTGACATGCCCCGCCCCTGGGCACACCGCCCCAGGCGCCCGAGCGGCTTCCTCCGCTGCTGGTGGGTGGGCAGTTTTTCTGCTGCATCACACTGTTGACTCATGTTAAGCTTATGTTAAACTACCAACACCCCTAGATCAAATATACTACTGGGGAATAGTCTCATTTTTTTGTGGTACACATTTTATTCATTTGAACTACTGTCCAGATTTTGGTGATCTATTGATGTAGCTGATTTACTATTTTATAGATGGCCTCTGTTAATTTACAGACTTTGTGTACCTTCCAGCGGGAAGGTAAACAAGGTTTCCATGTGCTCTGGCACTCATTATGGTGTCCTGTTGTGCCAGAAGTGGTTTAGTTATGCTGGTCACATGACCCGGAAAGCTGTGGACAAACACTGGCTCCCTCGGCCTCAAGTGAGATGAGCACTGCACCCCATAATCAAGTTTGACTGGACTTAACCATCCCCATCTCTGGCCTAATGCAGAGTCTGCCAGCATGATCTTGCTTCCCTACCATACATCTCCCAAACGCATGAAGCTGAAGGTGAGAATAGCCAATAATACAAATAAGAAATAAGAAGGTGGTTACTTTGACCACCACAGCTATCGCCTATTGCTGCACTGGAGATATATCTTGAAGTTACAAGGCTTAATTCAAAAGTATTTTGTTTGCTGAGCCCCTGGTTGATTATTGTGGATAGCTCTGATTTCCCAGCTGGTTTGGTACATACTCGGTTTATGTTGGAGGCATTTTTCTGATTCTCACTGAAAGCTGACCTTATGCTCCTTCAACAGCTATTTGCTCATTTTAACCTCCCTACAAAAGATTTTTTTTCTTCTCTCTTCAGGTTGAGGCATTTCCCAAAATCTTTCTGGTATTAAATTACATCCTCCGTTCTCTTTTCTAGCAATATTGGTAAGAGAAAGAAATTGTAGTTAAAAGGATTTCAGTATGGGTCAGCTTAAAAAAAAAAAAGCCTTAATAAAACGGTGCCACCACTGTGTATGAATTGGATCTTGATTTATTTTTAAGGGCTGTCAGATTTCATTTTGAGTCATATTCCACGTACAACTGGGAGTTTCAAAAATAACTTAAATAAATGACGTAGGAGAGCATGACAGCAGTAATTTCTATGGGCTTTGAAAAGGCTGTCATGCCACCAAAGAGTGAGTGGGCCAAGTGGTAAATTCTAACCATGAAATAATCCTCTACCTCTGTCTAGTTCCTGTGGGTTCTTAATGATTGGGACTGTACCTCCTCAGAATGTACACTTTGAATATACTTGAATCCTTCACACATGCTCAGCAAAATCTGGACACGCAAAGCATCTCAACATGCAAGCCACATTTTACAAGCAGAAAAGGGAGAATCAGAAGGGGACTCTGCTTTCTGTCTTTGATAACCAATTAAAATTGACTTAACAAGAGTACCCCTTGTGTCTCACAACCTGAGGGTTATTCCCCCAAACTGACTGCAAATACAACCTGTTTTTGCCTTTCACACACTTGATACATGAAATTCTTATGCACACTACGCAATCTATATTTTGTCAATAATTTGAATGCCCCTTAATGGGATTATTCATGACAGCCCCCCGCTTAAATCTCCCATATGTGCACCTTGTGATACGAATTGAATGGTTCTTTAATGCTATAAATGTCACTCTTAGATATGTTGCATTGGCTCAAGTTGACTTTAAATTGGATTAGTGGCTTAACTCCCTTGCTAGAATATTTGTAACTTAAATTGACAGCAAGTCTTTTCCTTATAAAATGTATACTGTAGTCCCTTTTGTATTTCAATATGCAGTGCAATATGCTAATGCGGCAGAAGACAGACTCGGGATTCAAGATGACTTTAACAAATTGGAGAAGTGAGCCAAAACTAATGAAATGAATTTCAATAGGA